TACTGAAATGGTTTGAGTTTCGTGGCAGTATAATGGATGCTTCCTAATTTAATAGCTAGGACCTAAAGAAACATTCAAGTGTGCATATTTTAACAGCAGTTGTTTACATTTGCTAAATGTCAACGTTGTAATTTCAACTGCTAAGCTGGTATCCATTAACCATAATATTCTTAAACGCACAATTCGCATTCACTCTCATTTTAAAGGTGCACATTAAAAGGAAAGATGATAGCAAACTATATTCACTCCTAGAGAAATAAATTTTACATTTTCTTGAAGGCTCCGTTTCTGTGATAAATAATGAGACACACATAGCGCGTATACAAAGTGTTAGGATTAATATTATACAAAATCGAAATTTGACGAAAAGAATATCCCTACTTCTTAGTTTTCAATGTGCAGTCTTTAAAAACTTATACAATGGTCAGCACACTTGTATACCTCCTTGATTCTTTCGTAGAAATGATCTTTTGAATTACTTTTTTTAAGTCTTCGGACGCAGTTTTCACAACATACCCATTGTTATAAATGTAATAAACTTCAAGGTGAAGTGATCTGCAAGCACCAAAACTGGTGAATAAGGGAAACGGCTACAAAATGTGATACTTTCTGTTGCATTAAATGCTTGACGAGGATGGTCTCGTATGACGGTGCATTTTCGTGCAACAGAAATCAAATATTCGACATAGCTCTTTCAAGCCTCACGCTGAATTCTCTTCCGAACTATCACAAGAGCGTCTTTATAAAATATGGAGTTCACTGTCTATCCATCACATGAAGATTTCTTGTGAACACATTCTTTTCCAATAAAAAAATGTCACAAGCATTTCTTTTACTACGAATACCTGATACCGAAGTTACTGCAACCGTGATGACCTTCTCCAATCCCAGCAGAGCACTATCGTTTTGTCTCACCCATAAGTAAAACACTAAATTATTATCTCTAGTCACAATTTGTTTGAAAAGTAAGAATTAATGCATATTTTTTGTTCAAATCATTTATTTAGCTAACCATGACAAAGTAACCTCACTGGATCCAAGTAATTGATTAACTGGGTAGAAAATTCTAATCGTAAGCAGACGATACTTTAGGAAAAGTAATTTGAGGTTTCGTATTAATAAAGACTGTCATTCGAGCTCAGTAGATTTGCTGTAATTTCCTAAAACTTAAGAGTTTCTAAAATTGTCATAACGTTTGATTGTCCTAATATATAACATTTTTACAAATCTTTATTATAGGATTACAGGCTTAAACCCTGCTGTTCAATGACATAGTTAATATTTAATTATTGCAATACAATGCAATGTCGTGTATACATATCGTAATGCATTAAATGAATGGAGCAGCATACAGCAAACACGAACTCATTTATTACGTGATTCATATGACGTTATTAGAGCAAAATGCAGTAACAACAGTGGCTTATTAAAGTGATACGCATATCTTGTTATATAGCATTTTCGCAGTGCATGCAAAACCTGTATAGAAATGTATATTGCAGTAAAATACGAAATTTATTCAGATATACGATATTAGCAGAACAAGAAATACAGGCTTCATGGTAATAACGATATTTTCAATACAGCAGTTAACCAGTAATTATGGCATTAAGGAGGCTCATAATATCTTAAACTCCTTATGATCTTCGAATAAGTGACTTTTACCAGAATTGGGATATTTTATTTATTTTAAAAGCAATTACTTCCAACCTTTTACAGCTGAATATAGCTGCTTTGGAAACTAGTAACCAGAAAGTTCGTGTTGTCACAAATAGTTTTGTAATTTAATCCGCTTTGTGACAAAATGTTTCGTCATGTTTCTACCTTGCGCACATGATATTTTAAAAATGGCAAATTTGAAAATTGATGGAATTCTTCATATGGGCACTATTTTCTAACTGAATCAAAAATCTGATGAATATTTTAATATTAAAAAAGTTTATGCACGAAAACATGACAGATTTGTTTAATAAAATACATTTTATAAACTCAACTTCAAATAAATTAAAAATTTACATGAAGTTCTTGGAATTTTTGGTTCACAGTAGTTTCAAAATGTTATAAAAGCTACATATTAAATATGGAATTAAATTATGCAACAGAATGTTTTAAACTGTGCGCGCAAGGTGGAAACATGACGAACAATTTTTCACTAAGCGGGTTAAATAATAACAATATTTGTGGCAACACAAACTTTCTGATTACTATTTCAGAAATAAGATATATTATGTAGTCAGCTGTAAAATGTTGGAAATAATTGCTTTTAAAATAAATAAGTTATCCCAATTCTTGAAATAGTCACATATTCGAAGATCTTATGAGTTTTAACGTGTACGAGTCCCCTTAAATTTCTGACTTGCAGACTGATTTTAGAATATTACTTATTTTAGCAATACCTGAACATTACTATATGTAATAAAGATATTAACAATCAATATCTACATATAATTACTGTATGTAGATATTGGTGGTTAAAGGATTTCAGGCTTAGAAATTTCTCTTCGGGTTTATGCTTAGCAGTACCTATAACGTCGCATATACATTAGATATATATAGATATAGATATATGTGGTTTTAGCAGACCAATAGCCTATAAACTGTAATTATTGTGAAGATACTGCAACAACAGAAAATATGTAGCAATTATGCATGACAAATATATACAACATCAAAAAAATGCAAATGAAATACAAAAACGTAGAAATTATGCTTCGGTTCATGGAATGAAAGTGCCGTTGAGTTAAGAATCCGAGGTCATACCCTATCACCAGCCCTCTCAGATCGATAAAGTACTCCACGCGCAGATTTACTGTAGCCACAAACTTCATTGTCTTACCTGGCATTCAAATTGGAGCCTACAGGTGGTGTTCTCCCTTAACGTCAGCTTCCATAAACTGTTATACCATTCTGAGCAGAAGATCAATATTCGAAAAAATCCTGAGGATTTCGAAACACTATTTAAAGTGCATCCTCACTATTTTATTACCTTACTTTTAAACGAAACCTTATTCACACCATCAATTGTGCAAAGAAAAAACAGATAAAAAATAGGGATTTTAAATGTCGTTACAGATACTCTTTCGAGAAAAAAATACATTATTAACTTTCAGTTACTGTCGGTTCAGAAACAGAAACAACAAAATGTCTAAAATAATTCTGAAAGTACTTTATGGGATAACATGCATGCAACGACTATAACATAAATATACTTCTTATCTACGCTCATTTCCTATAAAATACAAAAATAATGTCGAAAACATCTGACAAGATTTTGCACATTTTCAACAATAAAGAAATATCTAACAAGGACAGGATTGCTTAAACATGATAAATGTATTCAATTTATCACTCTGAAGGCATTGTCATTTGACTCTATATTTAATTACTTCATCGTAATTTTTTTATTTTCTTTTAATTCGTTGTGAACCACTGCAAGCAGAAATCACCTACGTAAAATATAAAAAGTAAAACAGTGAAGCCAAGTTATTTTTCTTGTACAAAAGTTCATAGGAAGCTATTTATTTTAAACTCTAAAACGGAACATCCCTAATTAAGTCAAGTCAATTTTTTTACTCCGCCCTGTTAAAGATGTTTCAGCAAGTTTTTAAGATGACTGGAATTAATCTTTTAATCTAATTTACTATGGCAGTTTAACCCGAAAAGAAGAATTCCACGATTCCGTGTTTAGAATTCTTTTGTAAAAGCATCTGTTAAGAAGGAAAGAATTTAGATGTTTGGATGCCTTGGCTGCATGAAAATGTTTGCTGAAAAATTTGACTTGAATATTTGACTGGAACTTCACTGGATTTGATTGTAAAAAAATCTAAATTTAAGAAACTTTTCTAAGAATAATTTTAAAAAGGAAATGTTTCGCGGAAGCAAGAAGATGAACTTTTATATATAAACATTTATTAGAACAATTCATATTGTATCAGCGGTCCCAATGGTATAGTGATTAGTGTGCTGAAGGGCCCGCGTTCAAATCCCGGAGAAGGCATCGACGTTTGTAAATGTATAGCGTCCGTGCGGCATAGCGGCACTCCAAATATGCGGCGAGCCGTACGTCCTTTCGTGGTTGGTGGAAGGGAAGACGGGTGGGAGAAATTTACTCTCGTCAGATTCTCGGACCCGTCCAATCCCCGGGGTGCTTTCCATCAAAACTGAGCAAATTCGTACTGGCACCTGTAAGATGCTCAAGGCCAGGCGTATCTCGAGAGTTCCTTGAAACAAGGAATTTCGTGGGCTTGGACTGATGTTGCTGTCAGGCAAGTGATACCATGTTACAACAACAACATAATTGTATCAAATAAACATTAATTTAAGGGATACCTTTACAGCGTTTTGAGTTGTAATCGTATATTGTAATAACGCAAGTTTTAAAAATATGACATTGTGGACCCACCAGTGGCCGAAACGTTAGGACCTCTGGAAACTGGTAGTTCGACCTGCCTTGCATTTCTTCCAACGGATTAGCTTCATGGGCGCTTTCGTACTTTTCCTAGAAATGCTTACATTCACTTTAATTGGTATTTGTATTTTTGGAATGGTAATGAAAAAATTCTTACTTTAAGAGTTGTGTATATCTGTTTGAGTTGGATAGCAGTTTAATTGCCTTAACAGCCCGTAAAGATGGGTATCTTCTAGCTTCTTAAACCCATGATGGCGCATGCGCCATTGATCTTCCTGCACATCCAGTCGTTAATGCGTCTAAGATCTCGCTAATATAAAAATATAAACGTTTAAATCTTTACGCTGAGATTTTAGTCATTTAGACCAGCGTTTCCCAACCTTTTTTTGGCCAAGGCACACTTGTCGCGGGGAAAAAAATCACGAGGCACACCACCATTAGAAAAATGTTAGAAAATTAACTCTGTGCCTATATTGACTATAATAAAGTAATTCTCTTGAATAGGAATCAAATAAGCACAAAGAAAGTATTTTATAATTACTTTATTATGAAATATTAAGTAAACAGAATAGTGAAAAATTATAAAATACTTTCAGTGCGAAACCTGGGCCTGTTTGGCTGAACACAAAGCTGATATTCTGGCTGGAATCGAAGAAAGACACACACGTAGCTCTTCGTCAACAGTTCTCAGTCTCTCTCTGTATTTGGTTTTCATAGCAATCATGCTTGAAAAGCTAATCTCACACAGATATGTAGTGGAAAAAGGGAGCAATGTCAAAATAGCTTTGTTTGCCAGAAGGGGGAACTCCTTGGCAGTATCCAACCAAAAACTGTCCAAAGGTAGATCAGCAAATCTTAGCTTGCAACCACGATTTTGTCTCAGTTCAATTAGTTCCTCCTGCTCCTGTGAAGTCATTTCCTTTCCAACAACTGATGCTGAGCTATAAGGGTCCCTAACCCAGTCAAGGCATTCAGTGGAGACTGAAGAGAAATAAAATGACAACTTCTCCTCAAGAGTTTTTAAATGCTTAACTATTATCTCACACAGTGCAGCAGTGTGAACACCTTGCCATGGTGAGTGTGAACATTTCAAGATTACCACTTTCCACGTGTTGATGCCAGAGTTGCACCTTTGAACGGAATCCATTTATTTTATCTGTACTTGTAAGCAGGTTTTCATTTCGGCCTTGCATTCGGGTGTTCAATTCATTCAGATGATGAAATATATCTGCCAGGTATGCCAGCCTTGCACACCACTCATCACTTGCAAGCTGCTTTGCGTAATCTGACCCCTCATTTGTCAGAAACACTTTAAGTTCCTCCCGCAGCTCATACACACGAACCAAGGCCTTGCCACGCGACAACCACCGGATCTCCGTATGAAACAGCAAGGTTTTATGCTTTGCTCCCATCTCCTCACACAAAGCTGCAAATATGCGACTTTTCATGGATCGTGACTTTACAATGTTTACCATGCGCACAACATCATCCAACACATGAACTAAGGCTGATGGTAAAGTCTTGGCTACGAGGGCCTCGATGTGTAAAAAACAATGCGTAATTATCACATCTGGATTTCTTTCCTTCACTCTGCTTACAAAGCCTTTGGTGCGCCCGACCATGGCTGCAGCTCCATCGGTGCAGACACTTGTGCAGTTTTTCCACTTAAGTCCTCCTTGTTCAAGGTATTCTGATGTGACCCGAAAAATTTCTTCTCCTGTTGTTTTTTCTGGCAATATCTTGCAAAAAAAGATTCTCTAATTGCATTACCATCAACAAAACACACATTAGCTAAGAGTTGAGCATGTCCACTGATATCAGTAGACTCGTCAAGTTGCAATGCAAATTTCTCACTGATACGGATCTTTTCCAAAACCACACTTTCGATGTCTGCAGACATGTCATTAATACGTCTCGAAATTGTGTTGTTTGAGAGATGGACTTTGGCTATTTCCTTTGCTGCTTCAGGTCCGAGCATCTCCTCTACAATAGCTTTGCAGGCAGGAAGTATTAATGTCTCTGCCACAGTGTGCGACTTTTTTGTCTTCAGCAACTTGATAAGTTCAGCAACTTGATAGCTAGCTTTAAGAGCTCTTTCATTTACCTTTGTTGTTTTTCTCATAAAAGTTGCCTGTTTCTCCATGTTGTCACGCAGGCGAACAAAATAGTCCACATTCTTGTTTTGAAGCAAAGGGTGTTTCGTTTGGAGATGGCGTTTAAGTGTGCTTGGGACCATAGCACTGTTAGCTAGCTTTTCACCACACACCACGCACAGTGGAGTTGGTTTGTGTTCATCTCCAGTGAAAGTAAATCCAACTGAAATATAGCTTTCGCTATATTGCCTTGCGCCAGAGAGAATTTAACCATCTTTGCTTTCTTTTGACCCCCACTCATACTCGGGCTCTCATCTGGCTCCAGATTTTGTTCAGAGTCCAGTTCTTTCCTTTTCAAAAACTTGTCCATCACTGCAGTATCAGTGTCTCTCTCCTCGCAGCAGCCGTTGTCTCTCTGACACTGTGTGAGGCGTCTGCCTGCGTCTCATGGGGGCGGGGACAAGGCGGACACTTGTCAAGATTGGCAGGGGGAGGAGTTATAGCACTGCACAGCGCCGTGACCACCTATGACACTGGCGGGGGGAGTGACGGGAGGAGTTATAGCGGGCGAACAGCACCGTGACACCCAGACCCGGCGGCACACCACGGTGCTTCAGACGGCACACTGGTGTGCCGCGGAACAGCGGTTGGGAACCGATGATTTAGACAAATACATCGCTCATCATATAACGCTTATATATTTATTGCTTAATTTTGTGTGAACAATTTGACCATTGCAGCATTTTTCATAATATCGAAAAAAAATTATGTAAACGTAGCTAAACTTTGATTTCTCAGCCCTCCAAAAAATAAACATAACTGTCGAAATTTCTTCAAAAAGTTATCTTTCGGACAATTCATACTCATGTAATATCAAATGAACTTCTAGTTATATAAAATTCGATTCCAAAATGTATATTTTATACGCCATCAAATTTTAATCTTGTTGTAAATCTTAGTTTCATTTCCAGTCATGTCAAACAAACCCTTCGAATTATGCACAGAACTGTAAGAACGTTCTAGTAAATTGCTACTGCAGAACACCTGGAATTTCTCATGCTTTCGGAGTTTCATGTTAGTTCGGGAATTTCTTGAGAACGAACCGTTTTACTCTGTTAAATCGTTGAGCAATTTAAATAAACCCCCGTACATGTATGCTGAGAGTATTCAGCATATGCTTATTTGTTACATATTCTTTTCTCCTGCCTGAAAATTTTATGAAGGTTATTATTGCATATTCTGAAGCATTCAATCTTTATTTTACAAATTTGTTATTATAAATTTTTCCAGTCACTATATTCTTATTATTTTTTACATCAGTTAGAGAATTTAGTATTTTATATAGAAGCGTGAAATTGTATAGCTTTACAAAAACTGTTTAATTTAATTTTAAATTATTTATTTTAAAATAAGCGTATGTATATTAATAAGCGTGCAAATATATTTAATATATAAACGGTTAATGCTTTATAAAAGTAGCAGCTGGTAATCGTAGCATTGTCATAGAAAATCAGTGCCAAAGTGATTTATGAAATACGTTTCCCAACAGTTGCTAAATGCAGGAAAGTACTTTTAGCTGGTAAAATGCTAAGAATTTTCTAGAAATGTATTACCTATACTGATTGCTTTACTCGTATGGTATACTCGAAACTATATTCCACATAGTTTCATGAGCTGTGATTAATAGAATTACAGCAATGATAGTTGCTAAATTTAACAGTGGATACTGAAGATAGTGAATCATTTCACCATGCTCAATGATGTTGATATATATACAGGCGTAAAGGGTAAAATCGAGTAAAACTGAATGTTAAATATGTGAAATCGCACCAATACAACACATCTTTCAACAGGGAAATTTCTCTTTCACATATGAACCCATGCATCAAAATTAGTCTTGTTTCTCGCATTTTAAATTCCGAATCGATCCTTAGGATAAGCAGCTTGGAGTAACAGGCTTTTATAACCCCAATAATCTTTTATGATGACATTGAATTATAATGTGTCTGCACGTAAATATCTGGAATACATTACCTTGGCCATGCTATATTTTCACTTCAAGATATGTATCGTTTATTGTACACTAACATTATAATCGTAACTACAGACAGTCAAGTAGTATATAATACTCTTAAACCAATACAAAATATTTCTATGGGTTGAAAGTTATTATGAGTAAAACATGCTGAATCATTTCTGACAGAAATTAGAAATGCTATATATTTTCAATTCAGCTTGAAATGGGTTAGTTATTTTTATTTTATTTATTAATCAGTTTCTACTGTCTAAAAAGACAAATTTATTATTCAAAAAACAATTTTTTATTTGAAAACACATAGCTTTCTCTGCATATACTCTACTCCCTCTTATATATATATATATATATATATATATATATATATATATATATTGTACAAATTAGCTGCTACATTTAGGTCGAAAATTTTGTCCCAAATTAGTTGCTACATTTCGAGTAGCTGAAGTGATAAATAACTCTCGATGCAGTTTAGTAGATCGACACTAGTAAAATTATACAGTGTACCACAATGAATGTAATCTGTATACTAGATTTCTATTCTCAGGTTTAACTTTCCACCAACGCAGCACTTATTTTGGGACAATTTTTTCGAAGCAAATTTATTGGGTTCGCACGCGCTTAAGCCACTCCTCATTTTGTAAGGACTCTACCACCAGTAGATCAGAAGTATCATGTTTATCTGACTAGGGCAAAGCCTCGAGGGCTGTCTGCGGAAGGAGGTATGCCTTCGTGGAGGACTTTCTAAGGGAAGCTGGCTCGTATACATGAGATCGATCATTGAATTCACAATTCATTAGCTAGAAGATAGTTTTATGCCATTGCTGATGGAAGAGTCCTTACAAAATGTGGCTCAGCTTAAGGGTGTGGGAATCCTGGATTTTTGAAGCTAATTTGGTACAAATTAAAGGAGGAAATGCTTGATAAGTAAATGTTGTTGAAAGATAACGTAGCACCCTTAATGTTCCGAAAAATGTTCAAACGGAATCATGAAATTTTCAATATCAATAATCAATACAAAAGTATTCAAACACAGCAATTAATTTGGGATAGAGGAAGTACTATATATGCGACATGAGCAATTTGCATTTAATTATTTAATGTTTCGATGAACTAATTCTATTTTCAACAAATTCTTTCCAGTACTTTTTTTTGAATTACAACCATATTTATTAAAAAATTTAATCACTGTTTCGTCCTATAATTAATTAAGGTGATTGATAAATTTAAGGAAAATATTAAGTAGCATTTAGTTTAACAGAAATAGATCACGTTTTTGATTTTTTTATTGTTATGCTGGAAGTATAAATTTCCAATTTTCTGGAAAATTGTTGTCTGTATCCCTAATAGCTTTTTCAACTCAAAGTTTTGCTTTCTTCATTAAGAAGGGTTTAATTATACAATTTCTTATTCATTAATTCAAGCATTTTAGGCATGTTTGTAACTTATTAACAAAAGTAATTGTTTTATAATTTATATATTAGAGCAAGTGGACATACGTTAATTGCCATTATAGTTGAGAAAATTGCATTATAAAGACTTTAATTTTGTTAAAACCACGTAAGATTTTGACTACGCCACTTATAAATGCCATAAGCTATAAACTGGATTTATTCACGATAAATATAATTTATTTCCGCTACGGTACATAGAGACATCAAATTTTGAAAAATGTAGTCCTGTAATCGCATATGGGCATCTGAAAGACCAAATTTGGAATTTGTTTTATTATCTACTTCATATTTTGTAAAACATTGAAGAATTTTTGATTAGCAAACTCAGGCATTTCAAAGCGAGCAATAGTAACACAAAAGAAACCACACACACACACACACACACACAAAAAAAAAAAAAAAAAAAAAAAGTATACATGTTTATTTCCAGTGCGTGAGAATGTGTTAGGAGATTTTAAAGATATGCGCTCATTAAATTATTTTGTGATATTGCTGTTGAACTGAATTTTATGGTTTATGTGCGAAGAAAATGATATTTTATTAATAAAGATAACACACAAAATGCCCTTTTGGGAGTATATAAAATCTGAATGCCTTCAGATTTATTTTTATGTGTAATTATTACTGTGCACTCTTCACTAACTTCATTTTCGTAACAAGCAACTAACTTTGCTCTAGATAGTAACGTATAGACTGATTTATTTGCGGAATGATATTGCATTTCATTTCTTCTAAAATTACCGTTGGATCAAGATCCGTTTCTTTTAAGAGTCGGAACAAATGATATAATTTCCTAACAAGAAAGCTACAAATGCTGTCGATGCAGCGGAGAAATTAACTAAGTTAATTAAAGATAGAGGTAACTGGTTTCATGCTACTAGGATTTATAAACTTTTTTCTCGACGACATGTCGTTTCATACACGCCGCCAAACTAAATTAATTTGCAATGAGTTTTACATTTAGAAAATGAGAGTAAATAATGAGAAAGAAACTTTTCGACAGTTTCCCAATTATTACTGGATTATATGCAAAATAGCGATAATAATTAAAATATATATGATCAGGTGTGGAAATAGGAAGAGTTTTAATGAAATTCTTAGTTTAGGTCTTATCCATTGCATATATTGGTATAGATGACAAAACCGATTGAAACTGATTTAAATAGTTAACGATATTTTAACTCAAAAGAGTAAATCTTTCAAGATTAAATTGCATGTTTTTTGCAGATTTTAGGATAATAGAATATTGAATTTAAAATGAAACTAACTCTGTGTATTTTTACTTCGCAAACTGGCATTTTTGTAACTTAATCAAAACACAAGATGACTGTTTTCCGACAGCCTTTGAGCAAATTTTCCTGCTACATTTCGTAGCACTTTATATTGTCCTAATGATGGCCATTTTTACATGAAAACCCTCACTGAAAAGAGCGGACATAAATATGTTGTTAGCTTACTATTCCATAGCTTTGCACAAAATGTTTATATATTAATAACAATTCTTTTAATTTCATAATTACTAAGAACAAAATTGAAAAAAAAATTGAAAGCATAACTGGAT